CCCAGTCCTTTTCCTTGTCTCCCGCTTGCCATCCCTCGTGATGTCCCTCCCGGCCCCCTTCCTAGTCTCTTTCCTAGGCGTACCCCCAGGCCCCCTCCGGGGCTCTCTCTGAGGCTCCCTCCTTTCCTCCCTGCCTGTCTCCTCACTGGGGCCCCTCCTTGCCCCCTTCTCTGCCCCCTTCCTAGGCTCCTTCCTAGGGTTCTTTCCAGGATTTCTTCCACGTTCCTTCCTAGGTCCCTTCCTTGGCCCCTCCCTAGGTTCCTTTCTCGATTCCTTCCTAGGTTCCTTCCTAGGCTCCTCCCCAGTCTCTTTCCCGGTCTCCCGCACAGTCTCCCCCGCAATCTCCTTAATCCCCCGAATCACCTCAGTCTGTTTTGGGATGCCCAGGCCATCTCCTCTCCCGAGCCTTTCACCCAGTTCCATTGCCATCACCCCCTGACTATTCTTAATGGCTTGATCCGCGCCGTTCTCGACCAGAAACTTGACGATATCAGGGTGATCGAATTGAACAGCCAGGTGAAGCGGGGTATTGCCGGAGTGGTTCTGCTTGTCGATTTGGTCACGATGTTTCTTGTACTCTGGTGTTGCGAATTTTTTCACAAGGCCCACCAGCATATGCCAATGGCCTGAAGTAACCGCCTCGTGTAGCGGCGTGTTGCCATATTGATCCTCCGCGGTGAGGAGGGATGGGCTACCCTTGTCAATCAGGGTCTTGTATGCTCCGGACGTGAACTTGGCTGCTAGATGTAGTGGTGACTGATCGCTATTCATCCCTTTTGGCCCAGCTTTGAAACCTAAAAGGGCCTTTTCTACCAGCGGGATGAGCCCCAGACAGACCGCGACATGCAGTGGTGTCTGCCCCCCTGCTAAAACCTCCATTTTTGGATCCCCGCAGTACCCAATCCATGGCCGCCGTATGACATCGCTGGGAAGGAAGAATGGGTACTGCAGCCAGTTACGGCTGGGGTCGTCCCAGGATTTGCGGTCTGTGGTCTCGGTGCTCCGACGAGCATGAAGGAACCAGGATTCTGCAGCATAGTTGAGATATGGCCACTTTGCCACGGCTTCTTGCTGGCGTTTCTGTGCCACTTCCTGTCGAGTGTCTTCTAGCTTCTCTTTGTGATGTCGCATTGAACTTGGCTCCCGGTGCCTACCGTGCTGTCCCCTGCCATCTCCCGCCCGGGGTTTCTCCAGGTCTGCGATGGCGTGGTGAAGGTATCGGAAGCATTCCCAGGAAACTTTGAAGTCGAGGTCACTTTTACCGGGTAACTCTAGGCTATACTCCATGCTTTCGTCGAAAAGGTATTCTATTGCGGTATGATGGACGATGGACACAGTTGTGGCACCAGCCCGGAGAAATGACAGAGAGGACAGGATATACTGCCTGATTTCCTTCTCTGTTTTCGGCAGTCCTTCGGCACCGGTCCTCCCACGAGAGTGCTGCTGTCCGGTTTCCGTTTCTCCTTCCACACACGCCAGGATATGTCCGAGTTCACCAAAGGTGAGCGGGCGCAAGGCGAGTGCCACACTCCGGATTATGCTCAGAATCTTTTCCGATCCCTCCCGTGACTTGACATCCCGTAGCATTTTTCGGTATACGTCTCTAAGCTTCGATGGAAGTCTTCTGAGAAAGTCCGCATAATTAGGGCCTGCACAAAAACGTTTTAAATTGTCAACCGCCAACGATGCCCAGAGGAAGTTTCCCTCTGACTTTACCAAAAGAGTATTGGTTGCTCCCGCCCGCTGAGCGCGACTCCATCCCCTGAATGCGCCCACCCTGAACCTGATAAATTTCTCCAAACCCTCTTTTACAAACTGGTTCGTATCAAGGTTGATCTTCGGGTATCCAGACAGATTATTCGAAATGTGGGGTACTTCCCGACTAGAGAAAAATATTTTGACCTTGCGAATGCTCATGAGCCCTAGAACCCTTTCGACCAATTTTTGACATAAGCTCTCCTTAAGCGCATCTACACCGTCGATGAGAATGTATACAGAATCTGCGTGGCAACCCTGTATCGTATTTCCCAGAACCCTCCACAAAGACCCCGGGTTAGCGAAAAATTTATCCCCCTGATGTTCAAGTTCGGCCTTGCAGCCATCGAAAAGGTCTCCATCCTGCGTTAGAATACCCTGCAGCAGGTCCCAGGCCACTTTGGCAAGCATCCGCTTTTGTGGCTCGGCCTCATCAGCAAATGTACCGTCTGTGGGAAGTTCGGGCGAGACGAAGTAGTAAACCAATATAGCACCTCTATGAGTATCGCCGGGTCCTGGGAGATATTTGGCCGCAACACTCCTGGCTAACATAGTCTTTCCCGTTCCAGGGCCGCCGCAGAGCCAGAGAACCTCGGATCTTTCGCTCTCCTGCCACTCCTTATACTTCTCGTCCGAGAAAATCCATTCTCCAGTACCAGCATCGGGCAGGTTATGCGGGTCGCCGAGATAGTCCAGGTCAGTGTCCGGCGGCGGTACCTCCCAGCGGCTGCTAGTCACCAGCTCTTTAAAGGTTGCTACCCAAATTCTTAGCCATATATTAAAAATAAAGACTGATAATGAGGGGGTGTATACCGGGAAGATCCGGGAGCGACGGTGCAGTATTATGAATTGTAATGTTTGTTGTATTGAAGCTGTGGAGATTTCCCGAGAAGAAGTTTCTAGGATTTAAACTTTCGGAGGCTGTTAGGAATCCCCTGGAGCTAATGATGTCCTATTAGCCGACCCGGACCCATATAGAAAAACCGCCTAGTGCTATACTTTGCCGCCATCTTCTCACAAGTATTTTCCCACCGAGAGATCTTTTTGAAGTCTTCGAAATTATAGATGCGAGTTGCGGCTACAGCACGTCCAGATAGTAGAAGGCGGAGATCTTCGATTATCGTGGGGTGAGGAGGACCAGGGAGGGATGAGAGAAGGATGAGAGAGAGACGAGTTCTGGAAGAAACGGCCGGATTAGTACCACAAGCACCAGAACATAAGACGAATGTAAATTCCCCTTCTCCACCATGAAGGGGTGGGGGGGGGACTCCACAAAACTCAGCCGTCCCCTGAGAGGAAACAAAAGGAATGTGCACAGTACCCCGCCAGGAGAGTCGGCCACCGTGCCGCCCCGCGCAGCTTCCTGACTCATTTATTAATATCTCCTATCCGAGGTTTTAAGGATCACGGCCCCTAGGTGGGGGGAAACACATTGCGTTACCTTACGAACCGGAAACTCCCCCTACGCATCCGGGGATACAGCTGGATACTGAGCACTTGAGGCCAAAAAAGGGGCTACAATCCGGTAGTAGTTGAGTTCCGTTCGGAGAAGCAGTCTTCACGGGATTTTCAGGAGGCCGAGCCGGGTGTAAATTGGAGAAAATACATCAGAGCACACTGGATGATGCTCTCGAAGATCATACACCACTCGGATGATCTGCAACTAATACCATACATGCAGGCTGAGCCCAGTTAGCGTGCACCCACGGACCCATACTCGGATAACATATCACATCTCAAAGCTAATCGATTCACTGGATATTTCGCCTTGTACCACACCCCTCCCCGAATCCGCACTTCCGATTCAACATCTCCCCTCCCTCCGCCCACTCGAGCCCTATACAGTGCAAGGACCGTGGGTGATACCTTCTTCCCGGATGCCGGGTGTCACGAAGTGGGGCTCAATCTCTGTCTTGCAGATGCTCCCCCAACCCTTGAGCGAGTTTCCATGACTCCACTACCCCCAAGGCCGTGCGCAGTAGGTTGTAGCGTCCGGCCCCATCCCGGGCCCATCCCGAACCCGGGCACCTTCCCCAGGAAGGGGGAGGGGGACAATTGGGAACGCAAACGATAGGAGGCCCTCAGACGCGGAACACCGGTACCATACGCTCCCTACCCCCTATTTCTCCAAAAGCATAGAGGTGCCGGAAACATGGCGGGAGACCCAATCGGCAAGGCTCAAAATCACGTTATCTCTGCAAACAACCCCCCCCCACCCCAAATCGAAAAATAGCAAGCTCGGGCAAACTTTCTCGCGAAAATCTTCATTTCTCAGTCACTCGAATGCCCGCTAATCGTCTTCCGAATTCCAGCCATGAGCTTCTGTTCCTCATCGCAACCTAAGCGGCCGACCGTGTAAAAGCGAATCCCGGATATCGGACAGCCCCCTCCCCAAAAAAAAATACGGAGGTAGCGCTGGTGTAGAGCTCAATCACTATCACTAAATATTTTCATTCAGCTTCGTCGCAAAGTCTGGCACTCTCTTCACTTATTTTCCTAACTACTTATGCATTATCATACCTATATCATACTCGTACTCTCCAGGCAAGTGCCTATGACCGCCCCTTCATGTTAGGCGCTAGCTCTTGGCATTGAGGAATGATAGAGATAACCCGCTACGGGTAAATTGTGCCTACTTGTACTCGAGTACAGTACACCATACCGGTAGTCTACGAGCACCGTATCATAGCACTGGTAACGGCATGCTTTGTGTAATTTTAGTGCAAAATGTGGTGGCAGGGTAACACCTGAGGTTGCGAAATGTCACTAGGTAAATCACCTTCTCGCGTTTACCACCTCGATGCCGGTAATGCACTCGAGTACTAGTACAGTATGACCACAGCAAAGGCCGGAGGAATTGGACCGTCTAGAGCTCCCCCTCAAAGTGAGGGGAGAAAAACGCAACCAGAGGAGCCATCTTTCAGCTTTCACCGGGGGCAAACAAAAGAAAAGTATCATACGACCAACCTCATTACCTAGGGGCAACTCCAATGCCCTCGCATTTGGTGCAATTACCGTATTCCAGCCCACAAGTACAGCCCACAAGTACAGCACTCGAGGAGGGTACCGTGGCTTTATTCTTGTTTCGCCCGCTGTGGTTATCTCGTATTTTTTACCTCAGTCGAGAGACACATCCCGGAATCTTTCCAACAGCGTAACCTGTGCAACGCCAATAATTCCTGGTGCATCTTATATTTGTTACGAGCAGTTTTAATATCATTTATGCCGGCCGAACCTCACTAGATCCCCAAAACTAATTGCAATTGATATAGATAACCAAGAGGATAGTGAATTCACCAACTCCTTAGATACAAGGTATAGAGGGCAGTAATCTTTTTCCCAGACATGTATTTCCGACTTTTCTCCGACAAGAGCTTCGCTGTTAGGTCACCGAACGGCAAAATTACATAATGACTTCGTTGGAAACGTCCTGAGGAACCGCATTAGTACCAAATTAAGCGGAGGCACACTAGAAGGAAGAAATACCCTCTTCAATTCCTTGAATGGCAAGGTGACGCAATTCCAAACTCTCACTTCGTCTCCAACCTTGCAATCCCGGCTGAGGATACTGACGCTTTGCACACGAACACCGTTCCTGACGACAGTTGTAGAGTGCTCTGCCACACTCATTGGAGTTCCCTCGACACGGGCCCATGCACCGACCTTGCTCTGCCAACCGATAATCGAGTACAAAACACAGGCGTCGTGTTTGATTTCCGCATCCTCTAGAACAATACTTTCCTTGACACGGGCGCCTGCTCCAATCACTGCTCTAGGACCGATGGAAACATTAGGTCCTAGCTTAGCCGTGGGATCAACCACCGCAGTTGGGTGAATGTAAACCGGGGGAACAATGAATGCCGAAGGCTGGCTAAGCTCGTTTGATTCTGATTGCCAGGCCTTCTGCAAGTAGAGCGCATTAGCGGGGACAGCCGAACCAGCAGTCTTGATCTGACGCCAAAAGTCACGCGTTTCGTAAACAAAGAAACGACGCGAGTCTGAGAGGGGGCCAAGGATGTCTTGCTCCAAGCGCAGGACAGAAGAGGTGTCACCGTCGCTGGGGTCAAGGGTGGGATCCGAGGCGAGGCGAATGGCCTTGTCCTCCATTGCCGAGCGAATAAGAGAGAAAACCGAGGAGCTGAAGAGGTAGACTCCACAATTGATCAAATTGCTGATATGAGACTCTGGTTTCTCAACATAATGGCGGACTTGAGAGGTCTTTGGGTCGACGACAATACCTATGAAGGCAAAAGATTAAAATACGCACGGACCACCGAGGGGCCGGAGGGGTATCTCACATCCAAAATTGCTCGCCGCCTCATTGCTAACCCTAGTTCCCAATAGCACTGCCTCTGCCTCTTTTTCCTCAAAAAGATCCAGCATCTCTTTGAGAGGGAAAGAACAGCAGACATCCGCGTTAATAACAAAAAGCCTGCTCGGGTTACCCTTCATAATAGCATCACGGAAATGGTACAGGCCTCCCGCGGTTCCTAAAGCAGTATACTCGCGTAGGTACCTAATCGCGAACTGAGGGAATTCGGTGGACCACTGCCGAATGTATGGTGCGAAAATAGATTCCTCGTAGTAGCCAATCATGTAAACTTCTTTGATGGAAGGAACTTTCGCGACCGCCTTGAGGGGATGGTAAATAAGGGGGTGGCCAGCAACCTCGAACAGGGGCTACGACATTAATTATTAAACGGTTTCTAGCTCCAAGATGGGACAAAACAATACCTTCGGGAGATCGAGAGATAACGGACGGAATCTAGTTCCCCTAGAGGGACCTCCGACCTAGAGTCATCAGCTATGGTTGCAGCAGAAGCGAGATGCAGGATACAAACGAGGATGAGAGCTTTGTTGGACATGCTGTTTACGCTGAGCGGCAGAATTGAGGGACAGTGTGAAGAGAAATCTCCCGGGAGGAAGAAGGCTGCGTTAGCTGAGGGAGAGAAGAAGGGGCGGGTTAGGGGGAAGATGAAGATGCAGGGACTTCGTTGTTGTTGATGTAACCCCCGCTAAACAAATAGGGTTAAGCGAGGGTTGGACAAAAATAACCGAGGATCACCTCTCATAACTTCTCACTCGAAATCGGCATATTTCGGTCCGTTAAGGTTCAGGGACCAAGGTTCCGTCAATGTCAGCCCTTGAAATTCCTACGGTAGAGAAGACCAGGGTCGGCCCGTAAGCACTTTAAACCGAGTTCCAAAGCATGTTACATGAGTGTAGTCGGGATACCAATCCCAGGGTGAGTTTGAAGTGGACTACGGGAGCCATTTATGTAATATCCCTAGAAGCATAATTGTCCCGTTGCTCTTTCGCGGTGATTTTTTTTTTCGGACGGAAGAACAAGCTCATGCTAGATGAAACCAATGTTTCTGTCTCTGAAAATTTACTGTAGATATTGAAGTTTCCCGGAGTAGCTAGACTGAGACGACAACTAGAGAATACAGGGCGACGCCCCATCCTAAATACTAACTATCATACCATACCCCGCTAACGGTAACGCAATATTATGGATTCAGGGATATATCACACTCATCATATTTCGCTAAGATCTAGAAAAGATGGAGAGGGAGTGGGGAAGAAAAGGGTTTTGTTTTTGAGGACTACTTTTTCCCTTTTATTTTGAAGATATGTTTTGTTCCATTATCTATTTAATTCCTGGCTAGTCTCGCATCTTGTGCAGGTCGGGGTGGGATATATAAGTTTTCGCCGAATCTGGTTTTCAGCCCTGAGTTGCGTAGGAATACCGGACGAGTACTGTGCAGGCTGGAGAAATTTTCCCTCTGGTGCTAGTAAAAGCCTCAAAAATATAACAAGGCTACGATGCGCGATTAAGTTTTAATTTCCAATTTCGATGCCACAGGTATGTGTGATGCGGCCTGGATCTCTGTGTTGCGAAGATTAGTTCCGCGGGGCACTGCTTTTCCTGAGTGAGTGATAATTTTGATAATTAAGTGAGTGGGTCCTTGGAATGCGGTGTACGATAACTCCAGTGTTCGTTAAGTGAAGAGATGGGAGGGGAACCGGTGGAGCAGAACAGAAAAAAGCGCGGCATGAGATAGTATGATATATCTACTGTGGGAGATATCTTACGCGCTTTCGAAGAAGCGCGGTGGGGGTGTGACGGACAAGACGTGAGCCGCAAATTGTTACCGGAATGGTGGGATCGGGGATTTGTGGGAGGAATTAATCTACGAATCACCACCGCTGTTTCCTGATGACTTGTGGTCCCATGTGGCCAATCTGCTGACTGCGAGAAAGCGACTTTCCAAAACCAATGTTGAGTCCGGCCTGTCCGGTGCCCGTTGGCTGCAGGCTCAGTGTTGGGCAATGGTTCTGCACTCGTTTTACTTTACGGCTAAGTGAAGTCCTGTCCGGGGATAGCCTACGGAATAGACCATAGGTTAATCTGGTTGCCTGTGGGTACTGAACTCTAAATTACTATAAGCTTTGATGTATTCCATTGAACTGATTGTTATTCTATATTGTAGCTATTTGAACTTTCATCCTACCTACATGCATTGATGCTGTGCAGTTGGCAGGGGCGAAGAGCATAGTGGAAATTTCCCGGAAACCACTAATTTTGTTGGCTGTTGCCTTAGTTTGTGTGAGTAAACTACGGTGCGTATTACACAATGTTGGATCCCGACGATATTGCTATACTTAGGATGAATTGTCGAGTTGGAATGGTAAGGGCGCGATACGGGTTACTTGTCACAAAGATGCCGAGCGGCCTGCTCAGGACGGGCACGGGGGGGTTCTGTGGACAGGAACACCACGCCGAGTAAACTCTTTGTGAATCAAGCCCTCGGGGATGCTACTTTCTATCCCTCGCCGGCCTTGGTAGTTTATTCGGGGTTTCACTCACCGGTAGCACTAGCCAAGAATAATATAGGGTTTCTCTGCATCTAAATTATCAATTGGATTACTAAATTTAAGCCTTCAACCTGATGAACATGCCATGGCTGGACAGCACGCGTTGTGCTTTCCCCGGGCTTATGCCTCCTCTCTCGTGGGGGCTGCGAAGGTGGGAGAAAGGAAAGAAGGTAGTTGAGGATCCATGAATTGATGGCTTTTTACCTAGGGGATCAAGTGAGCTGGAGAGAAAAAACATTTCTGGAGGAGAGCCTGACGCCGAAATTATAGAGGGATAGAAACATATCCGGATAAACTCTATAGGTCATGGCACTATAGATAGTTCTTGGTATCAAAGTTGAGTCGGTAATATGGTGTGGGTTTTAATTTTACGGATATCTGACTGAAATAATACTTGTACTTAGAATAGGTCAATGGATGGGTAAACCCGAGGACTCTCTCGCGGACTCAATAGCCCGATCTCTGACCTGAAGATGAACTCTCCTGGCAGCAACGCTGGCCTGTAAAACTCCTTTAGTGAGGGTCGGCTGGGTCGCCAACGGGTTCCCTTCTTTCCAGCACTGGGAATTGACTGGTAAAATGTTTAGAATTTGTGTTGGACCAGGTGGGAACTTATTAAGGAGGTGCCTTCGACCAGAAGCCAGGAGCTCAAAAAGAAAGAAACCATTTACGGTGGTTAATAGAAGCATTCACTTGACAAACAGGGCAGCACCTCACTGGGGGCGTCAGGTTGCCTAGTGCTTCCTACCCAGCCCATATCCGGGATTTTTCCCCAACCACAATGGATATATGTCGTTCCGGGCTCCGGGCAACAGTTCGCGTAGCGCTGGTATTTATGGATATGCCCCGTATGGCTTATCTGTAAATGGAGCTAACTTTGGTCTTTGCAGAAAACAGTAGTAGTATCTTATCTGAATTGGGGTAAGGGATTCCTGCCGGATCCTCGGGGAGGGAGTGGAGTTATCGGGGCGGAGGAAGGCTGGCGTCTTTGAGAGAAGGTTACTCTGCGTTGTTTTATCCACTGCGGTAGGACGCATCTGGTAGGCTAATATGCAGTCTCCGTACAGTTCTTGCGCAGTGCTGTAGACCCAAGTCGGGGGTTATGTCGTTTCGGGGCTATGTAGGGAAGCCAGATACGCAGCTCAGACTGCGAAATACACAGAGTCTTACCAAGGGTTGGGGCATGCTGTAATGTGCACATCTGCTGAAATTTACCCAGGTTAATGGCTGCGTATATCGAGGGCCATTGCGCGTTTTTGTGTTCCCGCCGTAGTCCCCGAAACAACACAACCCCCGACGCTTGTCTCGTACTGTACGAGTACATTATTCTACATTGCACTACTGTTACACAAGGCAAACAATAATGGTTGGGTTTCGACAAGGGTCAGGTTCGTAGTCACAAAATAGGAAGAGTGTCGTTTTTGACAGAGTGGAAACTTGTTTTAGAGGCGAATCATCCGGGAACTTGATCACGGAGCTACAGGTTGTCCGAGTTGGAACATCAGGATTATGAATTTAGTGAGATCTAACGCTATCATGGTGCGATCGCTGAGGGGGGTGCGAAGCGGTAAAACTATCTCAAGATACGGTAACGGAATTCAACAACCCATGAGTCTCTGCCTCAAATATTTACAGTGCAGCGGGAGGGGGGGCCGTCTTAGTTCTGTTTCCTTTATCAGTGGGCACTCTGGTGCAACTGCGGAGTCGGAGACAGTGTAGGACATCTCGCGACTCAAATGCACGCAGGAAGAAACCTTCGGCCGCTTCAGCCAGGGCCCCCCTCGACTATCCCATGGTGCAGGGCTCCTTCTCCTCACGGCAACTCCGATGCTTATATTAATGGCGACAGCTTTATTCTTGAGCTGATGAGTGGTGTCACAAATCCTTAAACCCGACACAAGTGGCACAGGCGCGGGCGGGTGGTTGGCCTTGTCCCACCCCTCATCTTAAATCTGAGAGCTCCACAAAAGTGGTATTGTATTGTGGTTTGTCAGTGTTAACTACAGACAAGGTATTTACAACACCAGATACCGGTACGCTCGAACCCCGAAGTCCCATCATACGGTAGTCGAGTACCGTAAAAACTGTATGATAATAACAATCGGAATATGGGATGTGCTACCGGTATCATATTGACTTGTAGTTGAGTATTCACTACTTCAGGAAAGGGGCGAAAAATGCCTCAAAAAAATATCCGTTTACCCCCCTAAGGGGCACAAAAAACCGATTGATAATAACACTAAACCCTACTAGAGGAGGCAACTCCAACGACAAAGCACATGCTTCTATTATTTCAGGCTTTGCCGTGCTAGAATATCAGATTCCACCGTCGATTAGATGGAAATATATCCTCCATCAGGGAAGCAGGGATGTAGTGCGACCCACTTTTTTTTTTTTTGATTTGGAGTATGTAGGGGTAGACGCACTGTACCCGGCTGGTGGTTTTCCAGTCCTCCTTTATCTATTCAGGTGTACAAGTTCCATTAACCTTAGCAACGCACAGCACTTCGCCGCAAGGCTCTGTTTACCTGCTCTGTAGCTAGAACTTCTTCATTTCACTAATCGCTTCCGAGCCCACAGTGTGCGGTGGGTCAGCCCTCCGCCTGAGTGCTTTCTGACAAGACTCTTCCGGAAAGTTCACTTTATACCCCAATATGAAGCTCTGGTTTTTCATGGTCGTGGTGAATTATACCGAGGTTTTGGCGAGGTTCAGTTTATCCTGTGGCCGAACCGGGGTGAAGCGGGTCGTGAGTTCAATGGTTTATCCCACTTCAAGGTCACGGGAATCTTTGATGTGAACTAGGATTATGCCCCCGGCTGGGGGTGCAGGTAGGAGAACAAGGGTGAGAAGGGGGGGGAGAAGCCGGGCTGGGGCGTGGGCGCAGATCATCGGGGGGACCCCCCGATTCCGATTATGCGACTCATGCTCATCGTGTTCGGCACGTAGTGCCATAGTTTTTATATGATTGATTAGGTTCTGTTTTGGAAATTTTTCTTTTTCAGAAAAAATTGTTTTTTTTCCTAGAAAAGACCTCCTGATCTGAGACACTCAGCCGCTGCCAGCCCACCAGTACGCCTGTCGGTATCCACTACCGTACTTGTACG